AGACTTCGTTTTCACATAAGTTGAAAGTGATTGTTTATAAAGCCCCTTTGCAAGCGATTATTTTGGTTTTCCTGACATAACACGTTGTTCGGAGTCAGTGACGAAATGAATAAATTTGAATGAGCAGGGAAAGCAAGCACGAGTGAATCAGAAATGTTTGAATTGAAAATTCGTCGAATTCTCCGACAATGTGAATTATTATTCGTGGGCAGGCGAAATTCCAAAGCCCTCCACATGTGATTCCGAACGGAGCAGCGTGCTGTTCCACAGAATGAATAGAAAAGCGATACTTTCAGGGAACAGATTATATGTATCTAACGTTGAATAGAAAGAAATCTCCTTTATTGTCGTCATTAGAAGCATACTGTAGCCATAGCTGTAAAATAAAAATCAGCCAATCGATTGATCAATCTTTTTGTGATTTACATCAAAAACCTAACTTCCAGATCCTTCCACATGTGGTTCCGAACGGAGCAGCGTGCAGTTGCTCAGAAGATTTTCGACTTGTAGACAGCCTTTAATCTAAATTTGACCTACACTATAACTTTCGGAAGTGGAGCGACATGCACAGTACCTTTTGATACAGATAGTAGTTCTAGCATCAAATTGCAGAGCCAGAATGGACTTAAAGGCAGTGTCCGAGGATGAAACTGATGTGTTTTTGTACTTGTACGTGACAATGGAGATGTAAACTGTAATGCCAGTAATGAAAAAAAACGAGAAAAAACTGTCGAGAAACAAAAATAAGTCCTTGTCTCCAGTAATGACGAATTGATTCGGGGGCGGGACGTATGCTGTGGGCGGAGCACATGGTAAGTTCCTGGGCCTCAGCGCCTCAGCCTTGTTAATTCGTGAGGCCATGTTGGTACATGCTTCGTGTTTGCGTTCCACTCCATATTTAAAGGAATCTTCCGCGGGAAAAGCTCCGCCTCCATTACCCTAGAAAAACGATACCCCTCAGGCCCCTAGCCTTCATAATACTAATCCTACACACAAGACAAAATGATCACTCTTTCCGTGGAAGATTCCTTTAAGGTATCGTTTTCTGTGGTAATGAGGGCGGAGCTTTTCCGTGAAAGAAATTCCTTTCATCCAGAAATCTCGGATTTCGCCTCTAAGGATGCGGAAGCACAACATTTCACCTTGAGATAAGGATGGAAGTGAAATCTCCTGAATTACCATCAGAGCATTCAATTCTTCCCTAAATGAACTGAACGTCCTGAGTTTGTTGGTGGCAACAGCATGATTTAGATGAGAGAATAAGGTAAGGGCTAGCAGTATCCGAGTACCTCCCAGGGTCCAATCATGCCCCATCACTTCTCCCTCCCCCTCTCAAACTCTTGTATTCCGTCTCTGACGGTCATATCCAGACCTTGAGAGGGCAAGGGGAAGATTTGATCGGGGATAATTTAACCTGGGTAAGTAAAGGTACTCGAATGCTGGTTAGCCCTCAACATATTCTTACCTGCATCATGCTGTCCCTATCAGCAAACTTAGGACATTTTATTCATTTAGGAAAGAGTTTTCTTCTGAAAACACTCAAGTTTTCCCGAATCCAATGGGACAATTCGACAATTAAACCAGTATCAAGCGCTTTTCTGTGATAAGAAGAACACAGTTTGTGCCCACACAGCAGAACAAACAATTGAAGACTAATCGATCGATACCGCATCGTTTATCGTTGGTTTCGATCGATCACGTCCTTCAGACACCATCTCTGACAACCGTTGATAACAGGAATCTCTAGGCCGTGCTAAATTACCTAAAGGAAGTGACATGATGAAAAATGGTGTCGTTCGCACCCAGGAAGGGAAACCCTCGCGTAGAACTTTTCAACATATCAGTTCAGAATCCTTCGCCAAGGAAAACGATAATTATTGATTAGAACCTTAAACAACAAGTGTTCTATGTACTTGTTGTGATTTCTTTGTATATGATCAACAGTAATAAATAAAAACAGTAGTAAATAGCCATTTACGCCGTTCAACGAGACCAAAGGTTGTGACGTCATCGTGCCGATGTTCCTACGGTCATGCTCAACCGTTGTATACGGTACCCATTAGGCGAAGACTTACGATCGAGGCAGGCGATAGTGAACCGGATCGTCTCCGCCTTCACCATTTGTGCTTTTATGCGTCCAATGCACCCAATACATCCCCGACATTTACTTCCTTGTTTACTTTTTATTTATTTATTTACTATTACCTTCGTTGTAATTTATAGCAATAGTGAACTGCGCTATTGACCATCATAACAAACCCACCACAACAATCATAAATAGCTTACTTTAACGCTGCATTCCACGAATACTGCAATGATTTATACAAAAGTCGAATTTGGACATTAATTAGTTTATTTAGTTCTCTGATAGTTTGTCTTATATTTCTACCTTAACAATTTTGATAACAATTTTTATCTTTCAACCTCACCATTTTTCTTATTATGGCTAGAAAAACTGCCCAACGCCTGCTCCTGTAACTCCTTCTATTTTATAAAGCGCTAACTTTGTGTGTCGGTTTGTGTATCTGTATGTGTGTGTGTGTGTGTGTGTATGTATGTGTGTCCGTCCGCAAAATGAAGTGAGTGAGAAGGAAGCTCATGGGATAAACAAACCGCTAACAAATCGGGTAGCTTACAGGATTTGAGATATCAATGTTTTGTAGCAGGATAGTTGTGATAACACTCTTAGGGCTATATAAACACCTGCTTAGCACACTTCCGTTCATTCCACATGGTGCTGCAGTGGCAGCTGGAGGGCAGTGGAGAGAGGAAGGGAGGATGAGGAAGGGAAGCGAAAAATCTACCGTCATATCATGATTGTGTCCCTTCTACTGTATGAAACACCATTGTGTTGCATACGCGTCACTTCCAGAGGTGTTGGTGTCACAGGAGGAAGGGACCATAGCGGAGGATAGAAAGCTTGCGCAGGAAAGGAAGGTCCCGGCGGTTGACGGGGGACTAATCTGGTTATATAAACGCAGATAGGAATTTGCAAGTTATATAAAGCTGCATCGTCTTAATCTAATCACCGCTGATATCCCAGCATCGCTTGCTCATTTAAAGGTCAGTCAGTGATTTCCATAATGTTATGGCTTCCTCAAACCACACCCATTGCCTTACATTACCTATTCACAGTGGAGGTGGAGAGGGGAGGGGAGGGCAGGAGATACTCATGTCTACTGTGCTCTTTTCAGGGATCCAAGATGTGTGAGCTTCTTCACGAGCCCACACTTTCCTCCCTTACACACCTTCGACAATCACTCCAACCCTCTTACTCCAAAAAACTACAGCAATCGAAAAATTCGAAATTAAAGGCAAAATTGATTGTTTTTGGAAAAAATTAATTCCGTGCGGCCGACAAGAATCAATGGAACCGAACGAAACCCACATAAAGCTTGGTCAAAATCAATAAAAACTCAGTCGTGGGGCAGTTACCCTTCCTGTAGGCCTCGTTTGGGGATGGAATCTATTTCAGACTAGCCGTGTCGCCATTTATCTAGTTTACCCATTTATTTGAATTGTTCATTTTTGGAGCTCCTCCCTAATTAGCTTGAACTGGTACTGAACTCTCGAACTGATTATCGTCTATAATGAATTCTGCGGGACTAAGCTTTTTCATCCTCGGTCATCTTAGGGAAGCCACTATACTTAGGTGCCACTGGCAAGTGTGTAGTACTAAGCAGTAAAATTTTGCGGTTCAAAAGTGCTGATGACTTCTACCGTACCCGTCATGGAGTATGGACGTGGTAAGTTGGAACATACACACTTTTTCCCATAAATTACTGTGCGCCAAATACAGTACCCAAATGCCTCTACGATTCTGAAGCAAACTAAAACCCTGGCGTATTCAAAGGGAATGCCATTAAGCAGTTTATGTTTTATCGTTTTATCGATCATAATTTCGATTCGCAATAATGTGTCACATCGGAATCGATTTAGCGGCTCATTTCCATATCCGGTTCTATCGATTCTCACGACCCACACAATTACGTAAAAAGCGTGGGTGATAGTTCCAAGCGAAAACCCCTAACGAAACCCCCGTCTGAATTGGAGTGTCGAGCTGAACGAACTTATAGCGGGCAGTGGAACCGTCACAAACACGCAACAAACGTGAAACAATGGCTGACCATTACGGCTCTTCTATTTTAGTCATTGATGATTTAGAGGGAAACACTGATGTCACTAACCACCAAAAAAGGTTGAAAAATATTGCCAATCGCTGTGCATGATTGCCCCCCGAGTGCAGCTAATCGACTAAAGTCATTCGTTTGTGGTCCCGCCGAATCGACGGTACAATCCTTGACCTCGACCAAACAAGTTTCCGTTCCCTTTGTGCTCATTGGAACCGACGGGTTGGATAAATACACAAATTGATCGGCAGTTCTTCATTTTGTAAATAGACATCCCAGAGCTTATTCGCCCCCGGTTCGATGCCGAGTGCAGGGCTTATTAACGGATTATCGTCTATAACCCAGAAGGTATATTCTCCATCCCCGATCATCTTAGGGAGCTTAGGTGCCACTGGCAAATGTAGTAAATAGTAAACAGTAATGTTTTGAGGGCAGCAAAGAGTAAGGCGATTCGGCGCTGATCAGCCCTTTTGGGGATGCGCCACGCCTAATGCTTCCTTACAAAATCATAGTGGCAACTTGAAGGCGATTTGGCCTATACAACGACTGGCCGTACGCACAAGTCAGAGTTTTTCTCCCCCCAGGCCCAAGATATGGACGGATTGGCCCACACCCAACTCCGAAACGATGAAAGTCTTAGTTGGCACGGCCCAGGATTTGACCCCCGGACCGTGAGCGTGATAAGCAGCGCAGTTCCCACTACACTACTTCCGCCCAATAGCAATTTTACAGCGTAGAAAGGTTTTTGAACGTCCATATCATCATTGCCTAATTGAGTGGACGCTAAAAAAACCTTTGCGGAAAGTTAGTCTCCCTCACTCGAAGTTGATTGGCGAAATGCTTCGCCGGGGAACGTTGAAATGTCTTGCGATGTTGGAACTGAAATGGGGTGATCGCTTACTTGACCGATTCGGCCGTGATTTCAACGATTGCGAAGAGAAGGCGTGGCTTATCACGAGCCATACAAACAACGCGATGCTGTATAAAAGACGTGCTGACGTTCCCCCACGTGGTGTCTGCACCGTGTGGGGGGTTTTCCGCGCTCGCTTGCATACTTACACCCATCGCAACAGCCGCTCCAGAACGCTGTCAATCACGTAGCCACGGAATTTGGATCCCGACTTAACAAACGACCTGGCAGTAACGCAACGTGATTTTCCCAGACCTTAAGACCTCCTGACGTCGTAGCATAGATAAGAAAATGAGGGCCTGCTTCTCTTTTTCAGGCATTCCACCTTCTTTTATTGAAGGCATCCGATGTCATGGTCTGGATTTCAGGGACTTCCTCCCTACCGCTCACTCTTTCCTCTTCCCGTCGCCGGTTTACCTCTTCGTCGGGGCTCCTTAAAGTTTTCAGGTGAGAGCAGAACCCATTCTTCCTCCCGCTCACTCCTTCCCCTTTCTCGTCTCCGGTTTAACTCTTCCTTGGGTCTCCTCAGTTTTTTAGGGAGCAGAGCCAGACTCCGTTCGCACCTTTCCAAAACTTCTGGAACCCCCCCCCCCCACTCACCACCAGCCAGGAGACTACTCCCAACATATGACTCTATTTCTGCCTACCTGACTACCTCCTCGCCATCATGCCTATTTCTATAGTACAATATTTAATTCTGAAACCAGACCTAACTCCGCCCACTTTTTATTCAAAGCCGTCGGGCGGATGTGGGGGATGTGGGGTGGGGGTAAATTTGTCCTCATGTCCTCAAAAACAGCAAATCCTCTGATTTCGTGTATTGTTCGTTTCATTCGTTCATTCGCGACGTTTCCGCCGAAATCATCAGAAATCCCATAAACGAATCCTACCTCCCCCTTCCTCCATTCGCAGTTTTCCCAAGCTTGGTTAACTTTTCAACTCCAAATGCGACCCCTTCCAAATGAGCAATACGACCCCTCGTTCGAATATTACGGACGGACGGTTGGTTCTGAGTGGAAGCCCTTCTTCTCTAGGTGGTTCCCTAGACTCCTTAGGGCTCACTTAACCCTTTGCAGTCGCAGTTGTCGAATATTCATCTATGCAAGGAGCGCTCACAGAGACCAAAGATGGCAACATCCTACCGTAGTTGTAATTAAAGTGTGTATCACTAAAGTTGACTAGCGCTTATCTGTTGTTCGCAGAAGACCTGTTATCAGCACGAGTGGGTCGCGGGGCCGGGCTAGGCCGTGTGTGTAGCGCCTCGGGTGATATCTGCGCGTCCGTCGCACGCCACTCTCTGCTGGGGACCCGTGCTGTCTGTTGGCTCGGGTTTCTGGTCGGCCTGCTTTTCATCTCTATGGCCTCCACCACACATTATCGTCTCCATATCTCAGCGTGCGGCCGCCACATGTTCACCGACTGCCACTACGGACTTTGTACCATCGCTCAATCATTCCCCGCCTCTACTACGCCCCGCTTTTTATTCAGTTCATCACTTTAAGAACTCTACACCTGTTTCAAAGTCCGCTTTTCATCGTTCTTTTTGCCCAGTCAATTTATTATCTGCGACTATTATCACTTTGATTGGTAGCTTTCGGAGGATTATCAAGGTTCCAATAGGGGGGGGGGGAGTTACAAATTTTCCATTGGGAACCAATTCATAAAGATCTTCACCATGCACGACTTTTGGGACATCGGTTCCACAATGGAAGAGTAGAGAGCCAAGTTGTAACCTTCTAGCTGCTGGACCCCTTCAAAGAAAGCACTGCCACCCTGAAAGGCCATGCTACCCTACCACAATGGCCCAGTACCTCAGCCTGGAGGCTACGGTATAAAGGCCGGGACCCTTTCATAAAGAAAGCCCGTCACACAGAATAACTACAGCTATCTTTAGAACACTTTAAATGCCATAA